GATGGTCTGAGAAAAAAACAGAATGGTCAGTCAGCCCATGCCCCACCCTCCTTCCTTCCCCTCCCCCACAAACCCCTAACCCCAGCCCAGCAACTGATCTGCAGGCATCAGTCACAACTACTGGGACCATTTGTGAGAACTCTGGTCTGCAAACTGCCAGTTTCTTGCTGCAGCGCTGGGAGGCATACTTGGGGTTTGATGATCACCAGGGACTCTAACTGTAAGTCTGTGTGGGAAAGAAAAATGTCTCCTCTGTCTTAACACCTATGCCTTGGGCAGAATACCCTATTACAATAACAAACCTTTCAAAAGCAGATTAGGGACCAGTGAGATGGCTCAGGAAGTAAAGGACAAAGACATTTGCTGCTAAGCCCACTGACTTGAGCTCAATCCTGGAACTCACATGGTAGAAGGAGAGAACTGACTCCTGCAAGTTGTCTTCTGGCTTCCACATATGTGACTAATATACCCCTCTTCCCTGCCCCCTCCACACATGATATTTTAGCTCTAAGTACTTACTCTTCTCATTCTGTTGCCCCAAACAAGCCCCTCATTATGAGGGAGTGGGTGGGCTTACTAGCAGTAAGAGAGGATCTGACATCACCCTCTCCCTTCCATGGTCTTTTCATCCTCTTTCACTTGTACATCTGCTCCGACAGTAGGAGTTCCTCCTGAGATGGATGGCCAATCCTCATCTCCCCAAGTTGTGAGGTCAGTGCTCTGCCTATGGGTTGCTGAGGTACCAGCAAAGCTTGTTCCTGGGGATTAGTGTATGATTACTATTACAATTAATAAGGATCCTGACATTCCTCAAATTAAGATTAACATGAACAGCTGCCAACCACCAAATATAATTCCCATGACACTCCCCACTCTTCACATGCACAGCTTCTTGCTTTATGCGCCTATTTAAATACCTTCTGATTGGTCGTGTACATGTCACTTAAGCACGCATCTGTCTCCTTCATAAGCTGATAGGTATTTAGGTGCAGGGGATCATCTCCCTTACATTGCTATCACTCCTAGAACCTGTGAGAGTAGTGGCCAGGGAGAATATTCAATGGCCATTTCCAAAAGTGATAGCAACCTTGGGACTCAAGAAATAGGAAGATCAAAGAGGCCCATTTGGACCTGGTCAATATCCCACTCTGTCGGTGAGGAGACGATGTGGGTCTATGGTCTGCTGGCGTTGTTCACTCTTGCATTAAATTACATAGACCAGCTCATTTAGTAGGTAGTTCTGGTTTGAGGAGACTTGGCAGTGATAGAAAGGATTTGTGTATTAGAATAAATAAAAATCCAATTATCCCAGGCAACCTTTAATTGAAAAATCATTTGAGTGATGCTATTCTCTCATGGAGAGCCTTTGTGGGCTGTTCAGCCAAGCCTGGCAAGTGTTCTGGCATCACTGTGATCATTCCCAGTCTTCCGGTTGAGTCCAGGCTACACTAGCCCACACTGAACATCTCCTGTGTCAGGGAACGAGATGAGTGCCTGCACACACAGAACCCTGCTCCCCAAATGTACAGCATCTGACTTTTGCAGCACGAGAATGAGCTTAACTTAATAGCCGTCGCTTAGCGTGATTAAAAATGAGCCTGGATGACACACAGGATTAATTATAAGTTATTCCACTTTAATTTTTAAAAGGAAAGGTTTCTATGTGATGGCTCACTGTACTAATTGTTCTAATAAGCAGGAGAAAAGGCAATAATTTCAGTTGTGACAATATCATAATCTTCCTGCCCAGAACCATAATAGAGGAACAGTCCCCCAAAATGCCTCAACTTAAAGCAGTGTTTTCTTTTATGACAAGAAAGGGTATTTTAAAGTTGCCATGGCATTGTAGCTGACTCCAGCGGTCTCACTGGAGGAGCAAGAAACTCTTTTTCTATTGTGTAGAGAGGAATAAGGAGCTATGCATCCTTAATGCCTGTGCCTTAAAAAGACAGAGGGGAGTAGTTAGCGGACGTCACAGTCACTCCTCCAGCACCACTGGTCCATATAGAAGCTATGCATGACTACAGCTTGGAACAGGTACATCGCTATCTTTATGTGTTTCTTTGTCATGGTCTAAGGCAAAGAGAAAGAAGCCAGAAGATAGTAAGGCCTCTAAAACATTGCAAAAGAAATAGAATCCCAACCTTCCTGGATTCAGCAGTGGGGCTAACCTTCGATTAATTCTCTAAGCTTCCCAGTTTGTCTATCATGGTGAATTTCTGAATGAGAAGTCCAGCCCTGAGTTGCTTGAAGAAAGAGTATTGACAGAGGGCCCTTGTAATGGAAAGTCTGGAGGAAGAGTGGATAGGAAGTGTAAGCCCATGCCAGAAGGAAATAATTATGGGATGGTTTGGGACTCGTTTGTATCTCAAGTAGGACTTACCCCCCAGAAATCAGGAATGGTTCAAACACAATCAAAATACATATTACTATCTTTTATCTGAAAGCACTCTGTGATGGTTAGTGTAGTCAACTTAATAGAAGTTTCTAGAATCACCTGGGAGATGAGCCTCTGAGCATGTCCGTGGAAGATTGATTGTGCCCACTGTGGATGGTGGTGCTAGTCTCTGGATGAGACTCAGGCCTATCCAAATAGAGAACTAAGCAGCATTCACCCTTCTCCACTTCCTGACTGTGGTCTAGATGGGACCAGTTGCAGCCTTGACGTCCCCACTGTGATGCACTGTACTTCGAGTTGTAAGTTAAAACAAACCCCCTTTCCTGTAAGTTGGTTCTGATGGTGTATTTTATCACAGCAATCAGAGAAGAAGCTAAGCTATCCTTTTCACTTTGAGAGGCATTTGCTGCTGTCTCTCAAACTTCAGCTCACACCTCAGCTACCCCAGGAAGTCCGTCCTGCCTCCTGTACTCTCCCCACCCTAAGGTGGGTACTCTTCTCCACTCTAAGAAACCCAGGAACCTAATTACTAATAGGAGGGAGGAGTTATCTCTGCCCCTGACTTATTTTTTGTAGTGTCCGGTGCATGAACCAGCACCTCTAAGCCTACTCCAAAGACAGCAGTCTGGAAATGTTTGGGAAATATTACTACGGGAACCATTTGAAATGTAGTTTTTCAGTTACTAAAGTTTACCATCATGATGTATGTCATAAAATTAATTCTTGTTTATTAGGGATTGATAACCCAACTCATTGAAATACCTTTCCTCCCTACCTACCTCTACTACTCACTTCCAATTTACCTAAGAAGTGATTATCTCTGTCTCATGAGTCAGAACTCAGACATCCCATGACTCTGAAAGTCAGAGAGTTTGACAAGCCATTGGTTAAGACCACAGAGGTTAAGTGACAGGAAGGTTCAGTCACTTTTTAATATGAAGTAGTGAAGCAGGGAGACCAAGGGCTGAGTATGAGAGAGGCGTAGGCAATCTGACGCTTAGGTTTGATGAGAAAAGAAGTTGAAACTTTCATTAAAATCAAGTTCCTTGGTTATCTTTCAACGGCTCATGCTATTTATTACTCCCAATTTACTCACCTTGTGTAACCGAGAGTCTTTAGAGACTGACATATTCCCAGCATTTCCATGTTGCCAGATGGCTCTGAGTCAACCTTCTTTACATAATACTGACTTCAGTAAACAAAATCTCCAACTGTAGACAGTTAGGACCGAACACTCATGTCATGGAAATCGTGACTTAGTCAACCTTTAAAGAAAAAAAAAAAAAACCAAAAAACCAAAAAACCAAAACCAAAAAAACCCAACACCTTCCGTGTATATCAGTATTTAAAAGAACAAAGAAAAATGATGGGGATGGTTCGGAAATTACAGAGCCATTTTCAACAAGGGGACTTGTAAATAGCATCACTTGCTTCACTGGCTGGAGAAATCTTAAAATTATTTATGTACAGAAGATACTTTGTACTACAATATTCCCAAAGTCATAACAGTCATGTGTCAAATACTCCAGTTAGTGAAGGACCAGTGGACAGTGATCACCCTGTGTTGCCTAAGGAAACTGTGGCTGATTTAGTCTTTATAAATACTTTTTATGCTGGGAAGTGGTGGCACAAGCCTTTAATCCCAGCACTTGGGAGGCAGAGGCAAGGGATTTCTGAGTTCGAGGCTAGCCTGGTCTACAGAGTGAGTTCCAGGACAGCTAGGCTTACACAGAGAAACCCTGTCTCAAAAAACAAAACAAAAAAGAAAGAAAGAAAGAAAGAAAGAAAGAAAGAAAGAAAGAAAGAAAGAAAGAAAGAAAGAATTGAATAACGGGAGGTGATGGTGCATGCCTTTAATCCTAACACTTGGGGAGGCAGAGAAAGGCTAGATCTCTTCAGGGTTTGAGGCCAGCCTGGTTTATAGAGTGAGTACCAGAATAGCCAGAACTATACAAAGAAATCCTGTCTCAAAATAAAAATAAGAAGAAGAGGAAGGGGAGAAAAAGGAAGAGGAGGAGGAAAGAAAGAAAGAGAGACAGAAGAAGAAGGAAAAGGAGAAGGAGGAGGAGGAGGAGGAGGAGGAAGAGGAGAAGAAGAAGTGAACCCCTTTGCATTAATTTTAAACTAAGTCCATGTAAACCAGTGTTTGGAGGAGAAAGTTGAATGATAATTTTTAACTAATTAACACATGTCCAGGTTGTATGAGGTGATCATCCTACCCAGTATGATCCTGATTCAAAGAGTGACTTCCGTTCATCTATCGACTTTAGCTGATGTGATGTGGCAGCCACCAGCAAGCATGGCTATTAAAATGAGTTTAAATTACATGAAATGTAAATTCCACTCCTTATTGACAGTAGTCACACCAGGTGTTCAATCATCCACTCGTGACTGCTACAGTAGATAGATGGATATGAGACATTTTGCACGAAGTTCTGAGACATAAATTCTTCCAAGGACAGCATAGTTATTTATTTGCCCCTCGTGATCATTGCTTTAACATTGGTGAAATAAACTGAGTTTGTTACTTGAGACTGATTATAACTTAATGGCTAACCTAATCCTTTCTATTGTGAGAACAGATTATTCACTGAGAAAACAATTTTGAATGCATGATGCTTTATTTAAACACACATATATACAGCGACAACAAGGGAAATGGGGTGGAATCCAGCCCGGTGGCGGCATGCATTGGTGGGACAGGCAGACTGGTTTCACAGGATGAGATAAGATGTGGGTGGAAACTAGGAAAAGTCAGGAGAGCAAGTTTCATTCTCATCACCACATGGAAGGGTCTTCGAGCCTGTAAAACACAAGAGGCAAATCATGGAAGCTCCCCAGGGTCTTACAAGAGTGAGACTCTCCATCCTGAGCTACCCGAAGATCAGAAGCTATTGTGAAGCCTCCTGTTGGCACTCTAAATAAGAGGCTCCAGAGAACAGCAGCAGCATAATGAAGCCCCAGTTCATCAGCTATGGCCCATGGGAACTGGAGTCTCTAAGGGAGTTCTTAGAAGCCTCTGTACATATCAAAGGGGCTGAGGGACTCCGAAGTACTTCTGAAGATCAAAACTACAGGAATCACATGAAACTGTAACAAGAAAGTTAGTGTTATTCAACTCTGAATATGCTTCTGTTGTTTCCCAGCAAGGCTTTTATGTAGCAAGATGCTATTTATTAGACTATAAAAAGACCCTTTTAATAAAACAGCATTCACATGCAACTCCAAGGCTATCAACTTTTGTCTCCTTCTAATTGCACATGATTGAGTCTGTCAGTCAGGGTGCAATTAACTTTATTTCCTGCACTAACTGTGTTATTTCGGGCTACAAAACAAAGCAGGCAATGGAGTTCTAAGTAGGTCTGGATCATCATCTCCAAATTCTAAGTATACATAGCCTAGCCTAAACTTTTACTGTGGCAAATATCCCATGCATATCAATGAGACACAGAAAGATGCTTATTGCTAAGTATCAAAAACAATGCTTATAATTTCCCACCATTCCCTAGCATCCACTGGTGAACTCTAAGTCAATGCCTCTAGGGACAGAAACATTGTTCTTTATTTGCTTACCTCAGAGAAACTATCTGGAGGTAGGTGGTCCTGCTGTCACCCATGGGTTCACCAGAGGGAACCTCTTTGAACCTCCTGCCACTCTCCAGTCATACTCACTGAAAAAGTGTGTTAGTGACCTCTTCTGGGGAACATGGTTTTTGATGGTGTCGAGTTCTGGGTCTCGGGGAGCTAGCTATCAATCTACTAGGAACGCAATAGGACCAGTGTGTTGAGAGCTTGCTGTGATGTAAGCAGGGGGCAAGGTCAGCAAATGAGGTTAGGGGTTAAGAAAGTGAGGCAGATTGCCTCTTTCAGCAGTATTCCTTCCTTGACCAAAAGGCACCTGCTCAGCTCAATGATGAACCCTTAAATCCGGGCAGACACCTGTCTCATGACCAATCTATACTCCGAGAAAGATTCCACCAGACTACAGATAAGCACCTAAGGATAATATATTACCCAACAGTGATTCATTGAATAAAATAGATCAGTATATTGACACCACCACCACCCCAAACCTCAAAAGGTAGTCAGGAACACCTGGCTTATCTTTAATTTTGGGTAAAGCCAGGGAAGGCAGAATCAAACACATGAAGTCCCTGGGCTCTTGGACATTTGAGAATGCCACCTAGTGTATAAAAACTAGATTGTCCAGCCCAAATGGATGATTGGTCATTTCAACTTAGAGTTGGAGGCTTGTTCTATGCTTCCTTACTTCTAATAAGGCCAGGCATTCTATAGAGTGTAACTTCTGAGCTAAAAGTCAGCCATATTTAAAAAGGGGCAGCAAATAATATGTGTTAGAAAACAATAAGCCTTGGAAGTTGTGATTTGCAGTGACTGCGTGAAATGCAAGGTCTTTCCTGTATGACTCTTCATCTCCATCTCGATCCTAACCCTTCTTTTCTGGATGCTGCCATCCTAATGTTCCCTAGCTCCCCTCCCCGTCTTAAGCTCTGGAGCAACATCTCCAATCCAAGCTTTGTCATACCTTGTCCTGGGGGCATTTTCTGTGCTTTCCCTCATTAAGAGGTCTGAAATCAGTGTCTCGGGGCTGGATCTCTTGCCATATCTGAAACAAGAAGAAAGTAAAATCAAGGTTTTATAAAGTAAGCTTGGAGTAACCATAGGAGAGAGAGGGGGAGTGTCTCAAACTTAAATGTTATTCCCTATTGTTCATGTGCTAATAAGTATTCTCAGAGTGTGAGGCATCAGCAACTTTATCATGACCACATATGTGTATACATATACACATATACATACAACCTGGGGAGAGGGCCCAGAGGGTAAGAGTGCTTGCCATGCACAACTAATGACCTGAGTTCAATCCCCAGAACCCAAAGAGGAAATAGACCAATTCTGGAAAACCATCCTCTGACTTTCATGTGCAAGTGTGTGCATCCACACATCGCACACATATAGACACAGACACACAGACACACACACACATACACACACACACACACTAAACAGATACAATTTAAAGGTTACATATACTTAATTTTTCTGAAGTACTTTATAAATATTTTTAGTTTTGAAATTATACTATAATTACTTCATTTACCCCCTTTCTATTTCTCCCTACAAACCCTCCCATGGACCCTTTCAACAGCTCATGGAGGGCAGAGTTGGTTCTCTGTTTCTTCCCTGGGTTCTGGGGATTGAGCTCACGTCATCAGTGATGCACAAAGAAGCTGCTGCCTGAGTACACCCACACTAACAACCCTGTCATCACCGCTCCCTCCTTACAGATCCAGACATACTCTGGATCTTGCAGGCTCCCCTCTCTGTGGGAGGCACTAATGCTTTCCCTGAGGCATGAGGGAGTCCTACTGCTCAACAGAAATAGTAGGATATGGTAAGGAAAATACATGGACCTGAGGTTACATTCCCCTGTGAAGATAAAATAGACTATCTACTTCAGAACATTGCTAAGGGTGTTGATAGCAAATTACACGATTTCCCCCATTCTCAGAAAAGGCATGGGGCATCGGCAGCCACTCCATTTCCAAACGAAAACTTGGTCTGGTCTGGATGGATTAACAAATAGGTAGAACAGCTGGACAAAGCTGGTAGATGTTGTTCTAAGTGCTAATCCAGCAGAGTTAAGTCCAAATGCATTGGGGAGATTTCTCATTACTCCTGTGCTGAGACTCAAGGGGAGAAAAAGTAGACAGCTCTCATCCTCACCACCCAACTCTCACATCATTTGTTAAGATTTTCTGTAAGATTAGAGTAGTGTTGGTAGCTTGCACTTGGTTAACCTGCCTTTCAGTTGATTTTGTCAGTCTTCACGCTTTGGGCAACCAACCTGAATTCATTCACTTTTATCGTGCTCCAGAGAGTCAAAAGGACCAGCAACTGGTTTCCTCCATTTTCCAGTCAAAAACCTCCCAGTATTATGGCAGTTTCTGCATGCTCATAGACTTATCCAAATGGTGACTGGGCTTAGGGTTCTTTCTCTAACTCTGGATTATCCTTCTTCTCTATAACAAGCATGCTTGTAAAGACCAGTCTCCAAGGCAAAGATGCTCAGACCTGCCTTCACATTACTCTCATCAGGGGTGCCCTGAAGGAGACTAGAAAGCCCAGACTCCTCCTTATAGAGAGCCTCATTTAACTGGTGAGGATGGAAGCAAAGGCTTTAAAGTTCTTCATGGAATTGTGACACAAAGCCAGGAAGGAAAAACAAGAATCTAGGGCTGTTGCTCCTCAGTACTAACACTTGAGGGAAGATGCTTCTTTGCTGGGGATGGGGTGGGGATAGGAAGCTGGACTGAGCATCATGGGAAGTTTAATAGCATCCCTGTCAGCTCCACACTATATACCAGGAACACTCTTGGTTGTACCAACAAGACTGTCTTCCCTCAATGTGGGCCTATGTCCTAGGGAGTAAAAAACATCACCTCCACCTGAGAGCTGTTGTGGTAAGGAGCCATACAAGAAGGTCCATAGCTAGAATAAATGATTTGGCCTACAGAAGCAATAAGACAACAGCATGTACAGGAAAACAGCTACAAATAGGACAGGCAGGAGGAAGGAAAAGAATGATTATGGATAAAAACAGTCACAAATAACTAGGTAATTTCCAAAGGCGTGGACTCCTGCGCGTGAATCTTTGGTGGGAAGTCAACAAGTGCACAATGGAGCTTCTAGTGGTTTCTAAAGAGAACTTTTACCGAGATGATATAGGTTCATTTCCATGGAACCGGATTTTCTTCCTGTGACATGCAAGCCCCTTTCCCTGTTTTTTTTTTTTCCCTCAAAGATGGTGGAGATTACATCGAGTGTTAATGATGTGGCCCATCCAAGGAAACTCAGTAGAAGGTTCCAGTTCCATAACCCTAAAACAACTTTCTTGAAATGCCCTTAGCGTTGTTATCTGCAAAGTGGAAACAATGAAATTCACGTCAAAGTTTTGAGGAAAAGACTGAATGAGAGGACTAGGAAAACATGAACTGAGATCATTCCATGCACTGCGGCAAGACCATATAGCAGCAGTCTCTGAAAAAACAAAAACAAAAACAAAACAAAAACAAAAACAAAAAAACAAAATAACCAACAAAACAAAACAAAACAAAAAAACAAAACAAACAGCAACAAAACCGACGGTGTTGGGGCTGGAGAGATGGCTTAGTGGTTAAGAGCACTGACTGCTCTTCCAGAGGTCCTGAGTTCAATTCCCAGCAACCACACGTGGCTCATAACCATCTGTTATGGGATCTGATTCCCTCTTCTGGTTTGCATTAAGACAGAATGCTCATATACATAAAATACATGCATAAATCTTGGAAAATGCTATCATTTCAATTGTGCAATTTATTTTTGAGCTGTATGGAGTAAAAAAAAAACTGAAGTCATTGACTTTCTGGGAAGAATATTAGGCTCAAAAAAACGCAATCGCTTTTTGCTCATCAAAACGGTCAGATTTCAAAAGATTATGAGCCTGTATTACTTAAGCAATTCTGTATACTTTAGGATTGTTTTCCCCAGAGGGCTTTCAGAATGCCACATACCTTTCTGATGAAATTAAGAATACGCAACTGTTTTAGAGGCGCAACCTCCCTTTTGTATCCCATCCGAACATCCCCTTGGTTCTGAGCAGTTTAATCCTCTGGCAATTTACTATGCATAATTGAAACATGCTAAGTAAAGAACACTAATGCTTCCAAAGGGCTCGCCTATGTGGTCCTTCAAGGTTCTCAGTAATTGAAATGTGTTGTTAAATGATTTAGACCTAGGATGCACGGATTCTGCAAACTAAGTCCCATGTTGTTTGCAAAATAGCTTGGGTTTGATTTTTTTTTCTTTTTCCTGCTTGATTTTAATGCCGAGAGGAAAGGCAAGGCATAGATCACTGTCATCTCTCAGGTCCCAGGCAGTTGGAGCTGTATCCACTAGAGTCCCTAATGTAAAGGCTTTGTTTTGTTTTGTTTTGTTTTGTTTCTTCTTAATGGGGCACTTTCTTTTCAGAACTCAGTTGCTATAAAATGGAAAAGGTCAGTTTTTTAAGAGCATCCAGGAATTTTCAAGTGTGGGGCTGAGATAGTTCAGAAGAAACTCATGGTTCTATTTTTCTTTCTTTCTTTCTTATTTACTTATTTATTTACCTAAATATTGCCACTCCCTTTGCCCTGGGCAGGCTGGAAGGTCTCTCCATCCTTTTGACAGCTGGGCCATGGGATTTCTTTGGAGGTGGTTGTTTACTCTAGATCGGGTTTCTTCTTCTCCCTACACATTTACATTATGGCACCCCTGCTCTAATGCAGGCCTTTTCCCAAGGAGGGTGCTGGGTAAGTCCTCAACTGATATAAGCAAAAAAGGCAGGAAAGGTGAGTGGGAAACAGACGACTGCCCAGAGGCACTGAACCTCCGGCTCAGGCTTGGAGAGAAAGTCTACGTGACAAAGACAATGTATCCCGTTTGTGGAGTGTGTACCCAGCTCACATATTTATCTAGAGCTGAATTTATGCCCGATCCTGCCCTAGGCTGGGACAGAACAAGGAGAAAGAAATGGTCCCTGGTGTCTAAGATCACCAGAATCGCAGTTTTTCCGGGCTCTCTAGGTACCAGCTGCGAATGTACCCACCTCTGTCTGGTGATGAGATTGATGTAGTGTCGCAGAGCAGAGTAGTATCTGGCCATGTCCTCTGCTGGCGCATCCTCGCCCGGATTGTCCGGCTTGGAGGGGTACCCCTCAGCCAGAATGCCCAAACACACGAGCAGAGATAGAGCGAGGGTCAGTCCACACAGCCCCATTCGCTTGTTACCTAGCATCTGTGGATACAAAAGGCTCAGACTTGGAGATGCTGAGAATGCTCGCCTTTGTCCCAATTCCAGCCAGTACTCTGACCCCCATCTATTCCCATCCCAGACCCTGGGGGAAAAAAAAAGCCCAGATTGGGCAGGCACCACTTCCAGAGCTTTAGAGGATCATTTGCCCCGACTTGGCCCCTCTGGTCCGCCTCAGTATTTCACAAAACTTTCCTCCAACTCTCCTGGTGAGAGTCAGAGGTCCCCTTTTTAGAACAGAATTGGAAGTTCTGCCCTCTATCTTAAAGAATGACCACTTTTCTCTCTCGTTCCTAAATCACCCTCGGAGGAGAAAACTTTTCTTCTGGGTCGGTTTTTTTTTTTTTTAGCTCTGTGGCTACAGGCGTTGTGGGATAACGAGAGGCTCAGTTCAGATCTTGGAGGTGACTGGGCGCGGGGATCCCCGTGCCAGAGACAATTCTTGGTGGAATCTCCCTCTAGGAGCACGCATGCAATCTGGATTCCTGGTTATAACCAATCAACCAACTAAACAAACAAATAACCCCACCGCTGCCCTGGGGTAGGTATCACCACGTTCTCCCTACACTCAAAAGATAACATGTACGGAGGCAGGGCGCCCAGATAGGAGGACTCCGGGAAAGAGCAGGTGGTCAGTCGAACCAGAGTCTAGCAAGTGAAATTTAGCCTCCCCAAAGAGCTGAGTGTCAAGCTGGCAGAGCAAGTTCCTCAGGGGACCATCTGCGGGGCAAGTTCATAGAGCGTCTGGGAGCCCGGGTCCCAATGGGTGCTGGCACTCACCGTGGCGGGCAGGCTGTCGTCGCTGCGCGGCGGGTGCTGTGCTCTGGGTGCCTCTGTGAGGGGTGAGATCCACCGGTGGGATGCGGAGAGCGGTCGCCAACGGGTTTTTATAGAGCTCCCTTGTCGCGGCAGGAGGGGCCTTGGGGGCAGTCACGCCCTGGTGACTCCCACAGCCACTTCCCGCCCCCAGCGGCGTGGGAGGAGGCTGGAACCACAGCCACTCGAGTGGCGGCGTCTGGAGCCACCCACACTCCAATTCTAGGCGTCCCGTTCTGCGGGGAGAAAGGAACAGTCAAGAGTGAGCATCCCTCGTAGCCCTTTCTCCTTCTCTCCGTCGAGTCCCGCCAAAGAGATGAAGCCGGGACAGCTTAGGTTGCCTGTCTCGGGAATTGCAGGCTCTCTGGGCGCGGGTCTGTAGGGACCTGAATACTCTACTTGGGGGAACATCTCTGGGACCCCCGGGACAACAACGCGCTCTGGGAGGGAGGCAGCCAAGCAAGATTTTCCCGCTCCAGGAGCAGGTGTGCCGAACCGTAAAGTCCCCAGTGGCTTCCATGGACCTACTGGACCTACTGGTCTCCCCAAAAGGTGGGCCCTCCCGCAAGCACTCGCCCCAAACGCTGCTAGCCAGGCTTGGCCTCAGTCAGAAACTCCCCGAGGCTGCCACTGGGAGCCGGTGCTTCTGTATCTACAGCGGAAAGTGGCCGTGAGGCGCGCCCCTGTCTGTAAGCCTTGTGAAGTCCCAAGTGAGCTCGGTTGGCGCCTGAATGAGCACTTGCTTTCAGATTGAAATGGAGCAGATTAAAAGACAACACCAGTGTACTCCTCACGGTTAGACCCGTTGAATAAATATGAACGATGTTGAAACCATGTTTACCAGATGGGGATTTTTACAAGGTACCCTTGAGTTAATGCCCCTGGAAGTTTGAATCTAAGTAAAATGGCACGTTTGCTAAAGTGGAGTTTAGGCGTTATTTTAAAGCTAAAATAAATGATTTCGTTCAAGTGTCACTTTGTGTGTTGTTTAAATGGTGCTAAATTAACTATTAATGAAAGAGAGAGTGAGTGAGAGAGAAAGCGGTAGAGAAACAGAGACAGAGACACTATGTGATCAAATGATAATCACCAATATTCCTCACAGCTAGAAGACTGCATTTTCCCTATGTCAGAAACCCACATCAGGGCCACAAACGCTGAGCTGTCAGGGCTGCTCTTGTGCCCACATGAGGACCTTTGATAAAGAGCAAAGCATCTAACAAGTTCCCTCTGATAAGGAGGAAGGCACACACCGCTGTTCAACAAAGTAATCTTATTTTTGTAATGAATCAGAGATTCACATCGGTCAAAGCCTGGACTTAGCAGGAGTCAGAGGATCTGGGAAAAAACACACCTAAGGGGGCAGGGCAGGGGCACCACTTTTGAGCAGGGGACTCTGGGAGTCCGATTAACTTATTTTATAATGTTGGTGCTTGAGAACAAGAACTTTTCCTTTCAGCATTTGGAAAATAAAGTCAAGGGAGGGTGTGCCCAGGATGTCACTTACACACTGTTCTCTTCCTTGTTGTCCAAGCTGTATCATCTATCTGGCCTTGGGCTCTTAACATGCTGTCATTCTCCAGATACCACTCCATCAATTAACCCCTCCCTTCTGTAGTTTCCTGTAACCATTGGCAGCTCATAGAAACAACCCCCTCCCACCCCCTGTCAGCGAGCTTACACACAAACAAAATCAAAAGTCATTCAAAGCAGTAGTCCCCTAGCTGCTAGCTCTCTCCTTTGTTCCGAAGTCAACTTCATTGATTTTTTATGTATGTGCATGATTATTTATTGTAATAGCTTTTCTGAACTATCAATAAAATATACTAAGATGCTTCAAATGTTTGAAATATTCCTTTGGATACACATCCACCTCCATAAAGCCTTAAAGAACATAGGTTCATCACCCCAGATCTGTGACATCCCTCTGACAGTGCCCTCTCCTGCTCCTCCCTGTTCCTGTCCTCCATGGGTCTGTTCCGTGACACACAGAGTTCTTTGCATTTGTAGCCCAGCTCCAGTTCCACAATAACTTCTCACCTCTGCTTTTAATGTTTTTTTTTTTTAATCCAACACCCTTAAGCTGAGACTCACTCAAATGTCAACAGCACATACTGTGCTGTGGACACATTTCTATTCTAAGATACCCCTCAACTTCTAGAATCAACTCAGCTTCTCCTGGATCCCAGGTTCTTCCCAGCTTGTGCTGTGACTAACTCTGCAAGGGCATTGATTGATAAGTCACTGTGTTGAGGTAAGCAATCTGTTCTCATAGGGAAACAAACATCAAGTCATCCACTGACGTGATCTCTGTCCCACAGGTCACTGCCGGTCTATTTTGATTTGTTCTTTTATTTTTTTCTTCTTTCTATTTTTGTCGGTTCCTATTACTACATTTTTTTAGTTACTTCATTTTTTTTCTGTTCCAATATGTGATCCTTGTCCATTTTATTCAGTGATTTTGCACCTTAGACAATGTAGCTTTCATCTTTAGGATTTCAATATGAGTCTCTTTAATACCCGTCATGTCAACTCTTTATTCTAGCTTTTTAACAACACATTGTTATTGTTACTATTATTTTGACATTTTGAAATAGGTTCTCCATATGTAGTCCAAGCTGACCTTGAACTCCCAATAACTGTTTCAGCCTCCCAAGTCTTAGGATTGTAGGCATGTGCTGTCGGGCTCACCCTGATATGCATAATCAATAACTTCTGCCATCTATGCAATTGCAGTATTTGGATTGCCCCCCCCCACACGTGATGACCTGCATTTTCCTGTTTCTCCGTATGCCTCATAATCTTTGATAGAACGTCAGATTCTGTGGATTTAACCTTCTTGTCCCTCAGATATTTTTTGTGACCCTATAGACTCTTGGGCTTTGTTCTGGAAGGCTGGAAACTCTGGAAAGTGTTTACCCTTGCACTTCAGTTTTGTTAGAGGGCTCAACGCTGGCTTTAGTCTAGGGTTAATTTTTTTTCTACTTTCAAAGAAAGAAAGTTTTTGCTTTAACTGGTAACTGACAGCTGAGGGGGACAGGTTCTCCCAGCCCTTGTAAGCTTTGGACCCTCCTTACCCATGCCCCTCGGTGGCTCTTGATCTGACCTTGAGTGGCACCTTTGAAAGTAGGCTTTATTCAGCACTCAACTATGTTTTGGCAGGAGACATTGCAGATACCTGAACATTCTCAAGGTAGGACTCTCCAGGCCCAGGCCCACCTCCCAAGGCTGCCTGACTTCCTCAGCTCTGCAGACTGGCAGACTCTCCAGTCAGTTCTCTGGTGCCGTTCCATTTTCCATTGCCAGGAGATCACTATCCATTAGCAGCTGATGCCTGTGGTCTGAGAGTTGTTTTACTTATCTTTGTCTAAGTTGTCATTGTTTCTAGAAGTGGTCTTTCCACTATTGCTTCTGCTTCTTCACTCTGGGCTTGGTCACAAAGTCACTGTACTCTATGTTCAAGCTATCAAAACTGTGTTCTACCTAACTGTGGGGCCCACGGTAGTGTAAACGTATTTTTAAAGATTGTCTCACAGTTGTAACTGTCTATTTCCATGTGCACATGAGTGCTATTTCTAAATCATTTCATGTCTTTAACATTTTGTAATTATAAGGTCCATACACACAAACATAGAAGAATGCTTGTCTCTTAGTAGGTATTCAGCTAAATAAAACTGGGAGTCAGTGTGTCACTGTCTATCTATCTATCTATCTATCTATCTATCTATCCATCCATTAGTCAAAGTTTGTTAGGATTACAAAGGTCTAACAAACTAGCTCCACAAAGGGCCCTTATGGATGAGCCAATGATGAGACAGAGATGGACAAGCAGTCTGAATAATGGGTAACAACCTCCAGGTGCTGGAAGATACCTGTACCTCAGCTTGCTTCCCTCACCCAACGAAAAAAATCACATTCATCAAGCCTAATACAGCAGTATTATCTGCCACCCATACAGTCCAAGGGACGAAGAAGATAACTCAACTTTTAAAACCAACTCATCTTCTCTTAGACACCAGCTTGTTATCTGCTTAGTGACTAACTTTGCAAGGACATTGATTGATAAGTCACTATCTAGTATGAGTTTTAAATAATCTAGCATGGCTGCCCCCTGTACCTGTAATCCCAACACTATGCAGACCAAGTCAGGAGGATTGGGAGTTCAGCATGAGCTAGAAGATAGTATGTATTTATTTTATCAAAGTTAAGCAAAATCTGAGAAAGACACAGAGTGACGATTTAGTAGTCTAATATGAATTTTTTTTAGATAATTTGAGAGCAATTGTCTATTAGCAAAATTATACACAGTTACTTCAACGAGGCTACACTTTCTAATCCTTCCCAAATAGTTCCACCAACTAGGGACCAAGTATCGAACATATGACTCTATAGGACCATATGTATTTACACCACCGTACTCCCATATAAATATTTTCTTTGAAGTGTTTTCCTCAAAAGAATTTAAAAGACTAGCCACTATAGAAGGCTAGTGGATAATGATACAGTTAATATAATTATAACAGTGTGTCATTAAGTAGGTGATATCTATAATAACTACATATATATTACAAGCCTCTGTCAACTGTATTTCAGCTATATGTAGCCAAAGGCATTCCTACTTGCAAGCAACTTAAACTCCTGACTCTCAATTTATTTGTCTTTTCCTTCTATATTGCTATTTTCAGATTACTTTTCAAAAAGCACACATACCCAGTTGTAATTTTTCCTCTGTTCCTTTCACTCTGTCTGGGCTCATTTCTTTACAAACATAAGAATTAACTTAGACCTGTTGGTCTCCTTGGTTTGGAAGCTTCTAGTTTCTTCCTTTCTCCTTTCTTTGGACCTTTCTACCTCACTTCACTCACCTGGCTAGGGGAAGGAGCGGGAAACTTCCTGGTCCTTCATATCCTTTCCCAGCACTCTGTGCAACTGAAGTCACTTGCTGACAGCACTTCCTCTTGCTTTGTATTCTTAGCAGTGTCTAGGAATTCATGTATTAGAGAATTGGAACAATTATGAGGGCGATTGGAACCAAATTACCACCAAATTTA